GTCCTACACTTGTATATCCTTAAATGAACATAATCATATGTTTAATTTTATATTTCCAATAAAATTTCTCTCTCACATAAAAATATTTGATTTTTTAATTGCTCATTGGTTGCCTAGTAATCATACTGATGTTAATGTAAATTAAGTCACGTGACTAGTAAATGAACACGAACGTCTTGGTATATTTTAGCTTTACTAGAAAATGAAAAAAAAGTTACCAGAAAAATTTTCAAAATAAAAAAAAGAATGCAATGTTTTCAAGTAAAATGTAAAATACCTTTTTGCTGAAGTGTTTCGTTGATTCGCAAAATGGTGTAAAATAGTTCTATACCAAATTTGGGTAGTCACATCCCAATAATTCCAGAAGTCTCAATATTTGTTTTGAAATCATTGTAAATTGAATTAAGAAACCATTTACCAAAGTCTATGAATATTTGAGATAAATTTAAAATTCAACAACGGCGACTGTAAATATTTATGTTGCATTTTGATCATATGTACGATATAGGTATAGAGTATGTTAATTTTTATTCAGTATTGTAATTATTGATATCTTGATTTTAAAATTATTTTGTAGACTATAGTGTTGTCACTGTGTGACATAAAAAGACACACTTGAAGAAATAAAATAACTGAAATGCTTTGACTGACTGGGGTCTGATACCGTACACTCTTTGGATGCTCACATATATTGTCTGATAGAGGGCGCTCGACCATAGGTTTTTACGTTTTCGCCTATGGGGGCGCTATCTCAAGATTTATACTCAATGTGTCACTGAATGCAGTTAGACGTTTCTTTCAGTTGTACCAGTGATAGCGATACATCAGGATCTTCTCATTTTGGCTGTAATTTGTAATTAGCAGAATTACTGATTTTGGTAATAAATATTTATACATTTTAATTTTGATGACAGTAGGATATTATATAGCTATTATATTATATGGTGTTTGGCATAGCACCAAGAGCCAAATGAATTCCAAATGAATTCCAGACTTTTCCCAAACTTTCTTGCTCTCCCCCCCCCCCCAAAGACTTTTTGACCCTCAATTCAGGCCAACATCATCACCAAAGCTCAAGTTCTGAGGATATGGTAGTTCCCTGGAGAAAACGGGCCTTTCTAAAATGTATTAATAACTATGAAAATTTAAAGACTTTTCAAAGATTTTTTTATTTTTCCTGTAATTTAAAGACAACTCAAAGACTTTCCAGACCTCAAAAAATCCAAAGACTTTCAAAGGATTTTTCCAGCGCTATGGACTCTGTAGCAGTGAAGTTCAGACAGACTTGTGATGAACACTGTATAAATTCATGGTTTTATCACACCAAGATATCCATGTGAAGTAAATATTCTTTACTGCCCAAATAACTTGGTTATTAAGCCAACAATTAATATTGTGTAGCATGTCATCTCTGTACATTTGTTTGCAGTTTCTAGTGATAAACTAATGCTTCAAGTCATGTTCGATAACATGTTGCATGTAGATATATTGTTTATGAATGATGTGAATTTATGTCTTTGATAATTAACCGAAAACCTTAGGTATAATTATGTAACCAGCTGCTGAACACTTCCACCTAGATGTTAATTGAATGGTTCAGATGCACTGCAACTTAGTTGTACATAATGTGATGGGAGTAGGCTAAAACTTGAACTTGCATATTTATTTTATTTCTCACAGAATTATAGAGCGATGGGCTTCATTAATTCAAATATTGTGTAAACAATGTATTTACAAATATACTACGGTGGTGTTGTGAGTGTTAGAAGAAAAACAAAACAAAAAAAAATTGATGAAATAAGCTTTTTTATTTATTCAAAAGCCACATACACTGTGGCTAAATACAAGAACAATATTTATGTTTACAGTTTCCATAGCAACATTCCCCCCAAAAGTTAATAAACTTCTTCAATCTCATATATAACAAACAAAACAAACTATATAAAAAATGTTGAACTTTAATAAAAAACGATGGCTGCAGATATACATGTGTTGCAAGAAGGCATATTGCACAATAATTGGGATGCATGCATGGCTAGTTAGCATAAATTATTCATGTTTTCCATAATTTAGAATGTTATGTTAAGTATGCATGTCGGCTGTTCAGAATTGTTCATGTATACCTTATTTGGCATCACAAAGAAAAGCATTAGCATAAATTATTCATACAGACCATATAACGTTTTCTATTCAGTACATATGCACAAGTAATCAACATAAATTATTCATGTAACCTTATAAGGTATTACAATCAGTACTTATGCACAAGTTATTAACATAAATTATTCATGTAGACAGTATAAGGTTTTACATTCAGTACATGTGCACAGGTGATTAACATATGTTATTCATGTACACCTTATTTGGAATTGTGTTTAAATATGCATGTCAGCTGATCAGAATAAATTACTAATGTTTACCTTATTTGGCAATAAATGCACAGATCATTAGCATAAATTATACATGCATATCTTATTTGACATGTTTTTTATGTACACTGATCTGATTAGAATGTTTTAATGATAAAATCTAGCAAGGATAAACTTTCTTGAAAATAAGTGATTGTTTTGTTTTTTCTAAGATGATATCCTTAGTTTAGGCAGTTTTTTAATATTTTTTTCGCACTAATATCAATAGAACGTTGTCTCATAAGCATATGGTAACCAAGGTAACCCTTTGAACACCAAACAACTTTAGTCACACTTCAAAAACAAAACAATTTGTGAAATATATCCATTAGGAAATGGTGCCCCCATGGTTCAAAATTAATAAAAAAAATACAAAAGTGTGAAAAATGTACCAACAACTGGGCATTCGTGGGGGGGGGGGATGTGTTATATTGAAGAAAAAAAACATTTGTGTTGTTGTATCAACAACTGGGCATTCAGGGGTGGTGTTATATTGAAGAAAACAAATATTTTGGATAATGGCATTAAATTCTGTGATAAAGTAACATAAACATGATATGCTTTTATTGAAAGAAAAGGCCCTTTTTTTTGAAAAAAAAAATACTGTTATAATGTTAATACATTAGGCAAAACAAAAAACAGACACCTTTACTCTTTAACAAATTGAGTTCAAGAAAAATTTGGCAGGAAACCAAAATCATTATTTTATTGGTGTGGGGTCACTGTGTCGAATAAGAAATTGAAATATTTGAATCAGAATTAAGGTCAGAACTGTGCAGACTCAGACTGAACAAGTTCTGAAAAGAATTAAGAATAAAAATATTTGATGATTAATAATCATTGAACAAATGAAAACTGAACAAGTTCTAGGAACTAAAGAACAACTAAAACAGTATTCAAGAAACATTGTATAAGGGGGAAAAACAGAACAGTCTGAAATATATTTATTTTTAAATAACATTTTCAAATTTTAAAAGTGTGTTAAAGTTCTTACAGGTATTTCAGTTTTCCAACACTTAAAAAATATATACAACAGCATGAAAAACGTACACCCAAGTTTTGGAAACTCAAAACGGTGAGGTGACTACGTGGACTGGTGACGTTAACTCAGATATACAATGGCATGTTTAATTTGCTGCTTGCTAAGGTGAACAAACATGGCAGACAATTTGCATGTAATTAAAATATATGCAAATCACGTTTAAAAAAACAACCATTTTTGAAGGTGATAGATAGTATGTACATTGTTTTTTAAAGAACAGAAAAAAGAAAAAGACGAAGATCCCACCAAACTGTTGCCTTGATACCTGACACATGTTTCACTTGCAATGTAATATTCACAAGAGTGTAGAATTGATGTACTAGTATATTAATCTTTGAGCGCCAGAGTAAATTTCTGCCACAATTCACAAATTTTAAACACATATAATTTCTTCATAATTTTTCCAAAATGTTGATCGAGACTTGCAGCCCACAAGAAATTATTCCTTTTGGTCCAAAATGATCCGAAAAAAAATATAGATTCATAAAAACAGGTAAATCGCTGCACCAAAAGTTTGCTCAGAAAAATATTGTGCTTACAGGATTAACT